ATCTCTGACAAATTCGGCATCTTCATATCAGATATAATCAATGTTAAGTGCCAGAAAAATAATTTAGAAAACCGTTCCACTAGTGGATAAGAAGTATTGATGATTAACCTTCCCAGTAATCAGTAGTTTGCTAAACCGTTCTGTCAATGACCTCTATAAATATTTAATATTTTGGTAAAGGATTTTCTCATTTGTTTTACCTCTGCTTCCAAAACACGCTGCAGAAATTCCTGCAACTTAGGCACAAAGACAAAGCTTTCCCTCTGTGCCTGTATCTGAGGGAGATCTGTCATTTGTACACTTTACAAAGAGACTCATTTTATGTTTCAAACAACAGGTATTTGGCTTCGGTTCCATGCAATGTAAAAGTCTCAGTATGCTTTTAATATAGACTGCTAAGAGCTCTACAGAACTTGCTTGTATTTTATTATCTGTCACTGAAATAGACATGAGGAACTTAATAAGGTATACCTAGGCACAAATTTGGTTTCTCACTCAAACATAAGCTCAAACAGCAGTGATAGACTCTGCAGAAATTACTGCCTTGATTCAGCAGCCTGTTATCTCACAAATCAGAGCTGGAGATTGCAATGGTCATTTCTGCCCTTGAAGTCCCTTCCCTCTGCATGGTGATTTTTATCCCAATTACATGGAAATGATTCTCTAAAAGACAGAATTACTCTGCACACATCTGATGGTGAAAACTAGAATAGTCCCTGTCCTGCGTGCCTCCAGGGATGAATTCCAGCACCAACCACACAGGTGTTAAATCCACTCTTTTCTGAAAAGTCCTTCCTAGTTCTCATCCGCGTACTCTCCAGAACAGGCCCTCCTTTACCACCTCGTGTTAATTCCCTTGGTTTTACTTCCCAGCTCCAGCTCAGAGACCTGCTGTCTCAATGGTTCTCGCTGAAAAGGGACCGCTATGTCCAGTGTTTGGGTGCTGCCGGCAGAGCTGCTCCGTGCGCGGCGCCATTCCCAGCATCAGCCTCCTCTGCTGGTACCAGGGAGCAGCCTATCGATCCTCCCGGCTCAGTGCAGAGCCCGTCTGCTTGCTAAAAGCCTCCGAGTGAGATATTAGTTGTTTGGACTCCATCTTTTCACTGAGAATAATGAATTCGTGCTTTTCCATGCAGTAGCTGTGAATTCAGGATGGGTTTAGGCAGCCTGGTGTATGCTCATGCTATTGGAGCAACTAATCTTTAAGCCACACGGATTTTTTTTTTTTGTGTGTGTGTGACCATTCAAGAGCATGAAAGCCACAATGGTTATGGCTTTATGGCTTTACAAATCCGGAATACAAGCCAGGACAGGAGAAATAAAAGCAAAAAGCTAATACCAAGAGAAAAGAAATGCTAAGCCTATGCAGGTCTCCACAGCTACTACAAACCAGACCCCATCTCACAGCCCTCACTCAGGCAAGACTGGGACTGATGGGGGTGAAGAGGAGCCCCAGAGCCCCACATGTGCTGGTCTCTCTGCCATCCAGTGAGACCAGCAACAGCTTCAGGCAGTCACAGCCCCAAGAAGCAAGCAGCACGCAAACATCGCAGAAAACCAACGTTGCAATTTCACGTGAGTCATGCCTGCTATCGTTTGCTTTCTCCCCATTCCTCAGCGATGTCCCCCAGTCATTATAACAGCTGGCAATCAACATGAATTACTAATATTTTTCCATGTCATATTTTTGGACACAAAATGCTACATTAACAGTGCAGAAACAAGAATTTTCTGATCTCCTTCGATGAAGCTTTTCGAGGCAGATGAGCCACCCACTAGGGATGGCCTGCATGCATACACATGCTTCAGCACACGGCTGTGGCCTGAGCATCCCTTCCAAGCCTACATTTCTGTGATTTTGTTTCCTTGGGGAACAGAAGCATTGAGAGGCTGAAACAGGCAGTAGTGTATTTCTGGTTCTACAGGTGAAATAGCCAGGGAAGAAGACAGAGTGGAAGAAGAACATAGTGCTTCTCTATGCTTTTTCCTCATTTAAGATTTTTTATTATTTTTTCATAAAAGCTCGACAGACTTGACTCTCTCCAGATTCAATTCTGCTAATGTGCTTACGCTCAGAAGGCAGTGCCACAGGGAAATGATTTAGTTTTGGAGGAAGGAGGGGAGAGGAGAAAAGGTGGGGAGAACCTTTAGTGATGTGTTTCTGAAAGGAAAATTGTCGTGATTTTTGTTTCGTGTTCGTGTTTTTTTCTTTTCTTTAAGGAAATCTTCATTTGCCTACAAATGCTAATATTGAGGCAGTTGGGAAATGAGCTTATAACCTGGTAAGCTATCAACAGGCAAGTATCCTATGCCTTAATGGCTTGTGGATCACAAGATACACACAGCCAGACCTTATTATAGTTATCCTCTAGATCAAAGGGTTTTCACATAAATGGGGTGCAGTCTACCATGGCAGGGAACCGCTGCAGCCTTCAGGATTTAACTACTTAAAGTTTTGGTGATTACATAGTTGTTTTTTTGTAACTGGAGCTCAAAGCACTCTGTATAGCTAATGAGCAGGTAGAAGGAGGAAGACAGCTGAAAAGCAAAGTCTTGACAAACAGCTGTGGCAATAAGTGGCAACCCCAGCCCAAAAGGGTCAATCCCCTTATGAAACAAGCATTTAATCCTTTACAATTTTTAATTAAATATCTACCAAGAAGCCCGTAATACTTTCTTGAGACTCTGATTCCGTCGGGGGGGGAGGGACCGCAAGTAGTTTCAGCTGCGATGCTGAGCCTGTGCAAAGCCGAGGGCCCCCAGGGAACAGCACCTCCCGGGCGGGTGGCGCAGGGGGAGCCCCAGCACATCCCCGTTGCCCGCAGAATTTAATTAACGAAGGAGCGATTAATGAAGACCCCACTCCGCCGGAGCCCGACGACCCTCGAAGCCCAGGCAGGGCATAGGGCGGGCAGCCGGTTCCGCGACCCGCAGGGTCCCCCGGGGAGGGGATTAGTGGGGGACACGCCGAGCATCCCTGTAGGGTTTTTGGGGCTGCCGGGGGCGGGGGCCCGGCCGGTCCCCTCCCGACGTGGCCGGCGGTAGGAGGGCAGCCCCGTGCGGCGGATCCGCGGCAGCATCTTCCCGGGGACACGGAGGGGAGGGGAGCCGGGGAAGCGAACCCAGGGGGCTGCGGGGGACAAAGCCAGGAGGCAGGCGGGGACCCCCGGCTCTCCCCCCGCTTCTCCTCTCCCTTCCCTCGGCTCCGCTGCCGGCGGTGCCCGCGCTGCCGCCGCCAGCCCCGCATCCCAGGCAGGGCCCGGCGGTGCCCCAGCCCCTTCCCCTTCCCCTGGGCTCCCCTTACCTGTTCGGAAGAAAGCATCCACCTCGGAGTCGGGGACAGCGCCTTCCTCCGCCGCCCCTTCGCTGGGATTCATGGCTGGGGGAGACGAGGCGGCGAGCCCGGCGGCTGGTAATATCCAGTGAGTTAGGGAGGAGGAGGAGAGCCGGGAGAGAGAGAGAGAGAGGAAAAAAAAAAAAAAAAAAAAAAAAAGAGGGAGGGAGGAGAGGAGGGAGGAGAAGAGGGATGGAGGCGCGTTTAGCAGCGAGCCCAGCCGAGCGCCGCCCGGCTCATCCCAGCCGCGGTGCCTGCGGGGCGGCTGCCCCGGGGCTGGGCTGGGCTGGGCTGCCCGGGGCGGGGTGCTGAGTCCCCGCCGAGTGAGTCCCCGCCGCCGCCCCCCTCTCTCCCTCCGTCCCCTCCCTCCGCCCGCTATTGTTCCGACCTGCCCCTCTCGGCGCTGATAACCCGGCACGGCTCGGCACGGCACCCACCGCTCCCCTGCCGGCACCTCCCGAGCCTGCGGCTCCCCCCGGGCAGCCCAAGCCGGGGGCTGGTGCTGGGTTTCCTCCCCCAGCCCTACTGCTGCGCATCGCCAGCTTGCGCCGCTGCCATTCCGCCCCCCGGGCGAGCAGCCGCGGTGCCGGGGCTGTCAGCTGGGCAGGTGGTCGGGGATCGAGAGCAATAGCTCCTGTGGTTGAAAGGAAACACACCCCCACACCCTTTTTTTTTTTTCCTCCCTCCTTCCCTGGTTGCTGTTCAGGGGTTTTGGAAAGGCTCGGTGCAGCTGCGTGTTGCTGCAGGTACGCCTTCGTGGCTTACCCCTTGCGGTCCCAGGGGTGGAGAGGCCAAAAGGAGTTGGAAAAGCCGAGGTCCTGCTCCCAGCTCAGCTGCTGATGCAGCTATTCAAATGATTTTATTTCTCTGCTCTATAGCTGCAGTATTTGTGATTTGGGACAATAATTGTTGTCCCCAAAGGAACACCGTGAGGAATGCTTGTTTGTACTCCAGCAGCTGTGTTAAACATTATTCCCTAAGCCCAGCTATCAAGATTTCAAGCACAGACAGGCAGAGATAGACAGAAAGGCAGATATTTGCCATTTGGGCACTTTCCTTTCTTCTCCTGTTCACCTATTTGAAGCCTCACCAGCTCCTCATTCCTCTGCAATCACGTAACAGCCCTAGGACTAGCAGCCTGCTTAAGGAGAAATATTGTTTAAGGAGCAATGTTCCACCTAGGCAGAGCCCCACTGTAAAACAGGACTGCTCTCACACCTTGGTTGCTCATTTTTTGTTACCTCTGCCCTGGGAAAGGGAAAGCAACCACTGGAGCAGCCACCCCTCTGTCTGGATCACCCTTGGATAACCCAGCCCTGCTGTAGAAAAGCACCTTCCACTCTCAAGATCGAGGGTCTCAGCCAGCAGGTCCCCATGTCCCCACAATACCCATATCCCTGTAAGGATGATGCCCACTCACCACTCCTTTGCCACTGAAGAACTCAGACATTTGAGGGACTCTCGAGGTGCACACAGGAGGAAGTGTGCTGGAGAAGACAGAAAAATGTCTCCAGGTCACCACAGAGGGATTCGCAGGGGCACTTCCAAAGAGTTCAGCACCAGTCTAGTGCCTCTCAGGAAATAAAATATTCCAGGTAGCAGAAATCTCAGAACCAACTGGTTGTAAGCAACACTGTCTGGATCAGATCTCAATCTGTTGGGCAGGTTAGCAGCTGAGGCCAGCAGAGCCTTTTCTATTTTACCGCTGAGTATTTCACACAACACAGGAAAATGGATTTCCTCCATCAGCTCTCTTCCCAACAGAGGATAGGGGAATGCTGGATTTGGACACACACCCACAGACTAGGTATATTGTACTTGATAAGAGGCTGAATCTTTCCCTGAAGAAGCTGAAATATCAGAACAGCATTGAGCAGGCAGGCTGAGCAGAGGCATCTCAGTCACGTCTTCTCCAACCTTACTGTTTACTGCTGGAACTGAAACAGAATTGAGAAACAAACCATACATCAGGCCTGGGTATGGCAGAATTATAAGCAAGCATCCTATAGAGATCTAGCATTTAGTTTCCCTCTGGTTGCTTTATTCTCTCTCTTCTGATCTACTGCCCATTTCCCAAGCCTCACCCCAGCTGTGTTTAAGTACAGCCATTTACCTTTTTATGCCTAGGGATAAAAAGGGTCATTTCACAACTATCTGCGGAAAACAAGGCTTGGTGCAGACCTCTGTGCTGCCTCCTTAGGGTCATCAGCACACCAGGGCTAGCTCAAGCTCCAGCAGCAGGGCATTAACACACCACAAACACCTGAGCACAATCAGTCTTCTAAGCACTAACCTTCTTTAGTGACCACTCATCCCTTTTCCACACCACAAGGCAGAAAAGCCTTCTCTCTTCAAGGCCTAAGCAAGCTGCACCATTTCAAATCCTGCTGCAAGATTTCATCTCCGAATATTCACTACACGCAGCCCTGCTTCACTCCTTAGCCCTTTCTGCCCCCCAGACTCTCACATGTAGACTGATGTGCAAGTGTGAGCTAAAGCTGTGGTAGCTGGGAAGATCGGGACTTCCCAGTGAAGCACTTAGAGTCCACTTGGGATCTTGTACAGCCTGGTGGGTTTCTGAGTCAAAGCGTTCCTCCTCCAGGAGCATCCTTAGAAGCTCAACAGGAGTTACCCATAGCAAGGAAGGTTTTGCATCATTCAGCAAGGAGAATTAATGATGTCAGTGACAGAAATTTATATGAATCCTGCAGGTGTGGCCTATACCATTGATTGTAGAAGTCACATAGGCAACAGAAAATGTCCTTGTCTGCATAACCTGCAACCACTTTAGAAAATGCTGAGATAGAGAGCAGTTCATTTAACTCACCTGCCATGCTGATAACTATACTGATTTCTGTTAATGATTAAACCAGTTAAGGCACTTAGAGTTAACCATATAAAATACAGATAGTTTCTGAAAACAACTATTTTTTTTCTTCAGAGGGCAACTTCATTAGAACAGAAATGGCCCTAGGTCTTTCTCATGCTTTAAAACAAATGGGAATTCCCACTTTGTAAAGAATATTTTTTTTTTTTATTATTCAGTTCCTTTAAAGTACACCAAGACCTAGCTGCGCATTTCTGTTGCCACCTCTGTTGGGCTAGGCACAGCACTCCTGAGCTTGCAGCTCCACTTGCCAGGAAAGCCCTGCACAACATTTTCACTGTTTTCATGGCATTATCATTGAAGCACCAGCGCTGTTGCCATGTTTTGCACACAGCATGGCCATGCAGGATGGGGAGAACACACATCAGGGAGTAGCAATGCAGCCCCAGACATTGTGAGCTGCTATTTTCATTACCATCGTGATACAAGCAGGGCAGTCACTGTAAAGTATCTTCAACAACTTGGAGCCACCACGATTTCAGTTCAAGTCTCAGCAACAAGTTCACAATTTGTGTTGTTCAAAGAAGAGCTGTTAAATATGGAATAAAATACTTTCTGCAATCTATGTCACCTTTTTTTGTTGTTGTTGTTATAATGCTGAAGGTACTTCCAATTTCTTTGCGATACAAAACACCAAATAAACCAAACAAACAAAACCACCTAGAGAATTACATAAGCCAAAGTACACCAGTCTCATTGAAAGACACTGTTTTAAACTTTTGCATGGCTCTACTTGGCAAATATTCCAATTCATAACAAAAAACTACTTTAGCTGGGTGCCATTGTTCTTATTTGTGTGACTCTTGAAGCTGCTTAAGTAGCAGAAACTGTCACACAGGCTTTTGATTTAAGGCCCCTACTACAGTCAAGTTTTCCAACAGGACAGCAATAGATGGCATCAGAGACAAAACATTTTTCAGCTTGATCTCACAAGCCTGTGAACTATAGGGTGGGAGGAGGGAGAAGTATTTGAACAAGAAATCAATAAATTTAATTTTACCAAGATGGCAGATCCAAGACAGGAGAAATGTATTTGAAGGCTGTAGGGCAGTTGCAGTGCTGGAAACAATACAGCACTCAGAGGAAGCACATGCGATGTGGGTGTCCCACATGAGGGATCAGGAGTCAACTGCTGCAATACCCAGGACCCATGCCAAGGCTCTTTATTCAGAAAGGAACAGAGAGAAAACCCATCCTGCCAGGCTCAGCCGACAGCTGAAGTCTGCAAGGCACTGCAGAGACCGTTACTTGTGCAGAAAGTCCCTCCCTGTCGGTGTCACAGCACCATCTAAATGCAAAGTGTTAATGGGTAGGATCAAAGAGAAAGCCTCAACAGCAGAACAGGAAAACCTAAGTCTTAAAAGCACCTAGGGCTGCCTCATTAATAAGTTATTTGCAGCAACATTCTGGGGTATGTGAGAAAAACTTCTCACACACAGAGACCTGTTCAGACCCATGCCTAGGTATTAGAGTTGAACTTACAGTGCTCTTACACTGGGCTGAGTGCAGGCGGTGGAGGTGTCCGCTCATATTCCAGACGATTAGGAATCCTGCAGGGGAAAATCTGTGAGCCCCAGAAACACTGTGCGCACAGAAGCCTCTAGGGCAAGATGGAGGAGGCAGATTTAGACACAAATGCCCACATATATGTCAAAGATTATTGCTGTGTTCAATAGACAGTGCGCACATCAAGGTTGGCTTTGCAGCAGCCATGTGTATGTTTACACATGCAGCTTAGCTCGACCCTTTACTCAGATACAAACAGCTGTATGAGCAGGCATGGAGCAAGCCCTAATCCCATGGCAAAGGGTTTGTCTCAGTGTCATCCCTGCTGCTGTTATCCTCCAAAGCTGAAGTGGGAATGTCTATTCAGTTGCCACCTACTCTCCTGCTTCAAGAGTCAACATTATCTCCAATTTCCCTGAACTTGGGCAGGAAGATGAGCAATAATCACTCCTCCTCAAAAAAACTACCCTGTCTAGAAAGGTTGACAACAATTAGCAAGGTAATTTAAAAACTATATAATAGCTTTGAACAGGTCCTTTGCTAAGTTTACAGGTCTGAGTCTGGAAAGAGTCAATCGTGACTGAAAATCCTTTTTCCCATGGTAGCTGTTTTGTTACACTTGTTAATTAAATTGTTAGTGCCAGTGGATCGCCATTTTTATTAAATAGTAGGGAGAAAAAAAGAAAAAAAGAAAAAAAGAAAAAAAGAAAAAAAGCTAATTGCAAAGGTGGTATCCCTCAGCCAGATCCCATTTGCTACAGCAAGGCAGACAAGACAAGCTTGCATTGGCCAAGTCCACGCTCTATTTTTATGTACACAAAGAACTTCAGTCTTAAGCACTGTTAAGCTGGAACATTTTCTTCTAACTAAATTTCTTGCAAACTTTTAATCCTGGCTCTGCAATTTGGCCAGATTCTTAATGATACAGAGAATTATTTATTTACCAGGAGCTTTTGTACTCCCTGCAACCTCCTGGGCACGTTATGCCCAGTGCAGAAAGAGTTACAGAGGTAGACCAGAAAAAGGAAGTATTAAACATTGAAATGTCTGGGGGAGAATTTTAAATGCACATATTAGCTATTCAGAAAAACAATTTTAAGGTGAAGCATGCATTAAAATTAAACAGTGACTACTACTTTATTACCACAAGCATTCATTTCAGTGCACTTGTAGGATACTAATTTCACACATGGTTGGGCATAAATACTAACCTGTTTTCTGTTTCACCAGTACAAATTAGTGTAAGAAAGAGAACTTTTTCCCTGTTGTTGTGTATGCAAAACCAAAAACAATTTGAGCTCAGTTTAGTTTCTATAGAAAGTTAGAGAACTAAATGATCGGATCTGAGATTGGATCTATAAATTTGTTGCAGCATTTAAGATTTGGATTCTCATTAGAAGCCCTAACAAACTTACAATAATCAGCTAAAACCCTAAAAGTATCCCTAGGGCATCAAGTGATTCAGGCATTTTTATTATTAGTGGTGTCGTCACTGACATCCTTTCAAAATCCACTGGACCCTCTTACTGCAAACTGCACTATAAAGTCCTCACACAACCTGCCAGAAACCTGTACAGACCCTACCAGGAGGTCACTGACCCTGCTCCATGCATTACAGCGTCTGATGTACAGAACATCGTAATATTCATAGCACCAGATATTGGTAACTGGAGAGTCTTTTCTGAAATGTCACAAATGAACAAGGTTACTAATCAAATGAGGGCTTTTGGTTTATTGGGTTGGGTTGGTGGAGTTTTTTTGTTGGTTGGCCATTTTTATAAATGAACATCACAGAATTGGTCATGTAATAAATTTAGTTGAGCCTTATCTGCAGAGCTTCATGTGAGTAACTGTCACAAGATACCCATCAGACTTATTTGTTTGTTTGTTTGTTTGTTTATTTTGAACAGAATTACTGTTACTGAAGACTGCACTCAGTAAATTACCAATGCCCAATCTGATGCACTGGAATTGTTCAGTGACTATTTACCCACACTCCTACTAGCACACACCTGTTTTGTTCCCTAGATCTCAGGGGCAGTTCTAAGTCTTCCCTACCCCAGGGCAGGGGGCAGTTGTTCAGTGTCTCTCTGCTTTCTGGCAACTACTTTTCTCCAGAGAGCTTTAATGGTCATGCTAAGCAGAACTCCCGTTCTGCCACTTTCCCCATATCTCTTTGCAGCCTGGCTTACAGCTATGGCTGGAGAGTTTCCAGATATTCTGCTTCATTATTTGTCCTTTTGGCTTTCTCTTTCTTGACTGTTAGTGGGTCTCCTTTCCCTGCTGCCTATAAACAGAGGGTCACAAGGAAGCAGAGTAGTTCCAGCTTGCTCCCAGTACCGCTTGCTGAAGGTAAGCGTGAAGGAGAAAAGGTCTGAGGACACTGAGAGTGCAAAAGAAACGTGTGACTGTGACCAAGGACTAAGCAGTAGGCAAGGAGGAAGGTTTGGCCAACCAGGCACGTCCCGGTGTTGCCAGGTCTCATGAGTTGAGGGCCAGGCTCCCACCCCGCTCCCAAAACTTACAGGCCTGGTGCTTCACTGCTTGTAGTGCTCCTTCAGCTCAAAGCCCAGCCTAGCTCTGGACTCTAAAAGTAGGTCTCTGCTGCCACCACATCCTGCATGGTGTGCCCTACATTTCCCATACATTAAAAAGTCAGGGATGGATTTCCATAGTTCACAAGGAGGCCTAAGCAGACAGACAGGGATGATGTGAGCATACGCTTCGTTGCCAGTTCCTTATGAGCTTTGTTCCAGTTCTGCCAATCACAGAATCATAAAATCATAGAAACACAAGCTTGGAAAGGACCTACGAGATTATCTAGTCCAACTATCCTCTGTCACCAATACTACCCACCACGCTATTAAATCATATCTCATAGCACCTTGTCCAGGTGCTTCTTGAACATTCTGAGGGACGGTGACTCCACCACCTCCCTGGGCAGGCCGTTCCAATGCCTGACCACTCTGAGAGAAAAAGTTTTTCCTCATATCTAATCTAAGCCTCCCCAGGCGCAACTTGTGGCCATTTCCTCAAGTCCTGTCATTAGTTACCTGAGAGAAGAGGCCAACCCCCTCCTCATCACAACCTCCCTTCAGGTAGTTGTAGAGTGCAATGAGGTCTCCCCTGATCCTCCTCTTCTCCAGACTAAACAACCCCAGTTCCCTCAGCTGCTCCTCATAAGACTTGTGCTCCAGACCCCCCACAAGTTTTGTTGCCCTTCTCTGGCCACGCTGCAGGGCCTTGATGTCCTTATTGTAC